GGTAGACAACATCACTTCAGGTAAAGGAGGGAACTCTTTTCCCCAAATTCCCATCTTGAGTTGTGCTTCAAAGAAAGAAAGTGTGTGACTGAGCCCTGCTACCTGGGATGGATTTATTAACACAGAGGCATGACTTACAACTTGCTTTATAAGCTCATTGTGGTCCTAGCCCTCTCCTTTCAGGGACCTAATTAGTCCTTACTTGGCAAATTCCTTTTGAGCAGAAACAGTGGTTTTCCTGTGGTAGGACCAGGCTGACTTTCTCATTGTAATCCTATCAAAAGGCATTCTCTCCAATAAGCCATTTATCACAGGACAGGCCAAAGTTCAATGTCCCCAGTATCACTGAAAGGTCTAGTTACTGGGATACTTCAAGATCTGGACTGTCCTATTTTGTTCATACTTGTTGGAGAGGTATGGACAGTATTTCTGTTTTGCCTCAGTTATCTCAAATACCTCTCATTACGTCAAGGAAAAGTCATGAGTAACTTCCATGATGCTGTCTAACCAGCCATTTGTTGATGATAAAAGATGTTTTTTAAAAGCTCCTGGTAATTGGCTCTCTGGTGTGGGCTTTCCATGAGTGACTGGTCAGCCTCTCCTACCCCCAACCTGCGTAGCTGGTTAATGTACATCATAGAGTAACCGAGGCCCCTACGTGTGAAGTGAAATAGGGAGGGACATGCATAGCATCATAGCCTGAGGTGTTTTCAAAGTAGATTATAGACAACATAACACCTCTTTCCATCAGTTATTTTGGTTTTCTTATTTCTTAAAGAAATTAAGGAGACTATAAGAAGAAAATTACCCAAATTCAGTCCCCTGTTTTTTGTGGCAACACCTGGGATTTAATCCAAGTTACCTGTAAAGTCGTGTAGGCTATTTATTATTTATTTATTTTATTTACTTATTTTTGACAGTTGTAGGGACTGAATTGTGCTTGCTAGGCAAGCACCTATTACTTGATCCACACCCCCCAACTGTTTTTCTTTAGTTATTTTTCAGATAGGCTGTTGCACTTTTCTTTTCTTTTTGCCCAGAATGGTCTTCGACTGAGATCCTCCTATATATACCTTCTGCATAGCTGGGATTACAGACATGAGCCCTGTGCATACTATTTTAGCAAAAATAAAAAGAATAACCAACGGTTCCAAATGTTAGTGGGGCTTCTGGGAAAATCTCACATAGAACCACTACCCAGAAAATAGCAGGAAAAATTCTGTCCTGTCTTTGTATCAAAATTAGAAACCACTAAACAGTGTGTTGGATGACTAATTGCATCCCCAAGGCAAGTATTATATTGTCCTTTCTTTTCTTAGGAACTATTCTGATCCACTGTGTATCTATAATTTAGTTTCCAGGTACTAGTTTTGATGGTAGAATTTAGATTATTTATGATCACTTATTTTAAATTATCTAAATTTTCCATTTCACAAGGCAGAGACGTAGATTCTGTATTTTACCAACTACAAAAACATTGAAAAAGTAAATGTTTCATTTAAGTACTCCTAATGGAAAATGTCAAACTATTAAACTATTTCTGTGGGTGTCAGAACATCTGGAAGAGTTTGTTGAAAGTACAGAGTCCTATCTCCAGAGTTTTTAATTCCTTAGATCTTAAGTGGGTGTAAGAATTGGCAGAAATTTTCTACTAAGCTCCTAGATTATCCTTTGCAATTGATCTCCCTGACTGAACTGAGAAATTTTAAGTATACATCATGAGGATCCTTATTTAAGCAACAATAAATAATGTAAGAAAAAATGTCTTCAATTGTGGAAAAGAAAAATTAAATGACCATTCTATATTATTTTTTAATTATAATGAGGGCATACCAGTAAAGTAATACAGGGAAAGTATTTTTTTCCCTGAAGCTAAACAAATGTGGTTCAGATACATTTTTCTTTAATAGGTTATTAAGATCTGATAATATTATGCCAATTGCAAATGTAGAAATAGATTTAATGTAGAACTCATGGAAATATTTGGGATCTCAAATACAGGCTGATTTTCTTCCTCTGCCTTTGCTACAATTATGTATAAAGAAAGCCTCTAAAATTGGCAGTAGGAAATGAATTGTGTATGGAAAATTAACTTGCTGGGAAGAAAGGAAAATATTCAAGTGTGAGAAGAAAGGCTGGTAGGAGAAACCTAAGAACTGAAGTATAATTGAGAACTATGCACTATAAGCAAGATTCCTTAACTTAGCACATGCAATTTTGGAGCCATTCAGTTTGTAACTAGAATCTTGAATATAATGAATAAATTACTATCAGCTAATATATCATTAAGATATTTGATGCCATGCCCAAAAAAATGAAAGAAATTAGACCTTATCTTACATCCTCTTTAAAAACCAACCTAAAATGGACTAAACATAACACCTAAAACTACAGAAACCTGGAAGAAAACAGGGGAAGGCTTCCTAACATTGCACTTGACAATTCTTTCTTTCTTTTTTTTGGAGAACTGGGGTTTGAACTCAGGGCCTCACACTTGCTAGACAGGTTCAAGCACTCTACGACAATTATTTCTTAGATATGACATATTAAGTACATAGGAAACAAAAGCAGAAATAGACAAGAGAGACTACATTAAACTATAAAGCTTCTGCACAACAAAGGAAACAGAGTAAAAAATCAAACAGTGAAATGGAAGAAAATATTTGCAAACCACACATTTAATGAAGGGTTAATATCAATATTAGCTTATACCCCAATAATGAGAAACAAATAACCCAAGTAAAAGATGAACAAAGAACTTGAATAGCCATTTCTCCAAAGAGGATGTGTGAATGGCAAATTGGTATATGAAAAGATATTCAACATTACTAATTGTCAGGGAAATGTATCACAATGAGGTATCATCTCATATCCATTAGGATAGCTATTATATTTTTTAAAATGGAAAATAGTGTTGACAAGGACATGGAGAAATTGGAGCCCTCGGTAAGAATGTAAAATGGTACAGCTATGGAAAATGGTATATTTTCAAACAATTAAAAAATAGAATTACCATATGATTCAGTAATCCCACTACTGGGTACATATCCAAGAAATTAAAATCAGGATCTTGAAGACACATCTGCACTTGCCTGTTCCTTGCAGCAATATTCACAATTGCTGAGATGTGCAAGCAAACTAAATGTCTATGGACAGGTGAATATATAGAGCAAATGTTGTATACATACACAGTGGGATCTCATTCAGTTAAAGAAAAGAAAGAAATCTTGTCATTTGCTGCAGCATGGATGAAACTTTAGGGCAACAATTTTAAGTGACAAAAGCCCATCACAGAAGGTCCAATATTGCATGATCTTTATATGAGGTATCTACAACAGTTAAACTCCAAGGAAGAAAAGCTAGAATGGTGTTTGCCAGGGAGCAGGGAGAGGGAGAAATGAGGAACTGCTCTTTAAAAGACAAAGTTTCAGTGAGACAATACGAAAAAGTTCTAGGGACCTGCTGTACAACATTGTGCTCGTGGTTAAGAATATCATACCGTACACTAAAAATTTTAAGAGGGTAGAGCTTATGTTGTATTTGTAATCTCAATAAAAATTTTTAGATCTTAGGATTTATCTAGCTTGAGTTATTACATAAACATGGTATATAAAGTAGACCTGTTAATTGAGATATCATGTGGTTAATACATGCTGGAGAATTTTTGCATGGATTTTTTAAAGTGCTATAGTAAAACAAAATCATACCCCTTGAAAAATGATTCCATTAATTTCCTGGTCTCTAGGTGTTACAGCCTTAGAGCCACATGGGCTTCATTTTACCTTATCAAGTCTGAGCATTTCTAGAGACTTTCCCCTGAGCTCTTCCCAGCCAACATGTCTCCCCAGGGATCTCAGGTTCATAAGGACTTGAAAAAGAAGCAGAGGAGGAAGGGAGACTCCCCCAGTGTATCTCCTCTGAGAACCCTCTTCAGCTCAGAGAGGATCTTCAGGAAGGCAGGGAAATGGGGTCCCATCCATCTTGCTGACTAAGGTACTCCTCCCATAGCCAAACTCAGGTTTTACTGACAGAAGGCACTATGTGCATAAAGGAAGTACAGAAGTATACAGTCAGCCTTGCTTATCTCAGGGCTCCTCAGTACAGATTCAACCAACCAGACATCAAAAATATTCTAAAACATATTGTGTGTATACTGAATAGACACAAACCTTAATTCTTGTTTTGATCCACTAAACAACACAGCATAATGGCTATTTGCCTAGCATTTACATTGTACTGAGGATAACAGGTACTTAGGATATAGTAAGAGGTGTATAGGTTCCATGCAAATACTTTGCCATTTTATGTAAGAGACTTGAGCATCCTCTGAGTTCTTTACTTGGGTAGGGGGGTTGGTGGAGCCTGGAACCAGTCCCCATGGATACCAGATACTGAGGGATGACTTACTCAGATTTAAATTAACTTTTAGATCATTAAATAACAAGTTTTAAAAACCCTTCAGATTTACATCAGAAATTTAAAAATTTCTCAGCAGGAGCATGTTTAAACCAAAATTATTTTATCCCTTTGAAACTCTGAAGTAAGAACACAAGCAGATGTATTTTATTTTAAATGGAGACAGAAATAAACATTCACTATGATAAGACATTGGGGTTTTTTTTTAAGGATATCATACACTTTTTGTGAACCTAATAGTTCTACAGAAGGGAAGAAAACAGAAGATGAAGTATTGGTACTATTGTAACATGATTTATTTTTTATTGCTATAATGCTACTTGTGTGTTATGGAAACAAGTACAGTGTCACATTAAATACTAACCACCAACCACACTTTAAAGAAGGACAAATTTCAAAGCCAACACACAGCAGTTCTGTGTGTGCCCCGTGGAGGTTAGTGTTGCTTTCCACTGTGTGGTGCTTTGGGATAGTTTAATGTCATGGTTGGCTGGGCTCCTTTCTCTCCTTGTCTAAAGATTGCAGTGTCATTCGTTGCTCACTCATCACCTTCCTTTTTCTGCCCTGCTCCCCTGTCTCCACAGATCATTTGTGTTTCTCTCCAGTTGGTCACACACTGAGAGTTAGATATCGGAAGTTTCCAGCCATAGTCAACTGCACTGCTATTGACTGGTTTCATGAGTGGCCCCAGGAGGCTCTGGTCTCAGTCAGCAGGAGGTTCATTGAAGAAACGGAGGGCATTGAGGTATGCTGCGTTAGCCTGAGTCTTACACGCTCACACACATGCACACATGTGAACACTGCCTGAAAGTCCTCAACGGATAAGTACCTTCCAAAATGCACCTTTTATCAGAATACTGTTCTTATTTAAAATGACAGAATCATCTTTGTTCATTTATGGTCTATTGAATATGGTGACTGACCTTTTTTCAACACATGAAGATGGATGTGCACAACCACGTGCACGCACACACACACACACACACACACACACTCTGCACTCCAGCACTTTCTCACTGATGTGCTGATTCACCAGAGGGCTAAGACCAGTCACCTCTTCCTTAAATCACAATGTGGTTTATTAAATATAAATCCTTTGGGTCCACATCTGAAAACCCAAACAGAAACATAGTCACCCTCAGCCATGCCATGTTTGATTCCTAAAGAAGTAAGGTGACTAACTGTGGTTATTTTCAGTACATTGTTAACAGGTGAAACCAGTCCCTATCAGTTTCATAATCATTTAGTCACATATGTCTGTTTATTTGTCTTACAGTTTTTGTTGTTGTTTGTGTGTTGTTGGGGGTGGAACCCATGTCTTCATGCATGCTAGGCAAGCACGATACCATTGAGTTCCACCTCAGTGTATGGATTTATGTGTTATGGGTAATGTTTGTTATTTCTTCTTCATGAAATTTGTACCTTGCATTACATTTTTAAATGGTTTTATGAATCAAACAAAAACCTCTAAGCATTCATTTCAAAGAGAAAAGGAATATAAATGTGAAGCTTTGTGTTACATTCCCATGGTAGGAAGGTTTATTTTTTATCTAGAGCCTTTCTGATTAGATAGTTGAGGAATGTGGTAGAAGTGAGCATCTCCCCTATAGCCTTGTCCTCTCATGCCATTTAGGGATGAGGTGAAATGTCCTAGAGTAGGTCCAACAGTATTGAAAGGAACTCTCAGAGCCAATGCAGAATTGAGGATATGTGAGGGATGACGCCTGTTCCTAATGCAGGTTTATCAAGAGCAGTCCTTTGTCATCTCTCTCATGCACGAACTTCGGATGCTATCTTCCCAAAGCAGGCTTTCAACATTGTATTTCATACTATATCTTTGGATGGCCAGGTGGTTAGAAACCCATTTAATTGATTGGCATGCAGCTAGCTAGATTTATTGGTGGTTATATCATCTTTCCTTTGCCTCTACTTTAAAAAAAGCATCTATACAGGTAAGTACACTGCAAATATGCACTTCTGCTTACAGAATTTTGTGGAGGGAAACCCTGTTCTCCTAACGTCTTTTCCTAAAATGTCTGTGAATCTGTTCAATATTAGATTACAAGGGAAGAACTCTCTAGAAATAACCAACATGGAAGATACAAATATGATAAAGGTTTTAAGTACTCAACTTCCTCCTTTCTCCTTCTCCACTTAAAACATTGCCACAAATAAATGGGGGAAAGGGGAAACAGCTCCACTAAAGTCTGCCAGGAATATCTTATATCTTAAAATCAGAAAACCATTAAATATGATAGATAATGACCATGAAATAGTAACTCAGATTTCTTGAGCACTTGCTCAGTTCTCCACATTACCAAATGCTTTAGGGCATGATTTGGTCTTCTGAGAGGTATAAAAGGTCTTCAGAATTCTGTAGCATCAGGGAATCAGTATGTGACTTTTAAATAGCAAAGCTGTATTTTATCTGGTTCATTTTATTAGGCTGGTTTAATAAGGAAGAAGAATGAATCAGCGCACACTGTTTCTGGATGCTTTGTTCTCAAATTGTTGGAAATCAAAGCTTAGGTTTGCATTTGGCACAATACTTTCTAAGTTCCTTGTCTGCTGCTCCTGTGGAGGTGGCTGCCATTGGAAAACAGTTCTGACTGAAGCAGCTTTGATCTGCCAGTGACCATTGACATCTGCTGGTTGAGGCAGGATTTGCATCCCTGGAAGTCCAGAGGGCTCCTGGCAGGGGCTAAGCTCTATCTGATGGTGTCACAACGCCTCCTATAGGATAACAAATGCCAAATAGGAATTGTAAAGGCACTTTACCCTTTCTATCAAGCTGAATTATGCCTCAAAACAAATTAGCCAGATGATTTCATTTCAGTGGAAGGTGCTTATTTAACTTCCCCACCTTCCTAATTTGTTGCTCGGGAGCCATAATTATAATCCAGAGTGCAGTGTGTCCATGTTCTTCTAAAAACATGTGGTGTCTTTTCTGCAGAGGTCAAAAAGAGCTTTTAAATTTTTTGAATGAATGCTAATTTGATCACTTCCTTAGTTTCAATTTCTGTCATTAAGAGTAAAAGTTATCAGCATAATTTGGGCACTTCTTAATTATTGACCTCACTGGATGAGTATAAGGTACTTAATCAAGGTGGCCCCCTTTGGCCACAGAGAAAGGACTCATTAGCAGCAAGTGGTTTTCTGTACATTGACATATAATTTTCCATGACTACACACTCAGCACCCAGGAGTACAGGCTGGCTGTGTCTAAATAAATATTTGTGCTACTTCTCAGTTACCTGATACTGAACTAAATGACAGCTGACAAAAAAAAATGACCAAAACAGTGTGACACATGTGTCACTGTGTATTTGTCAGATTTTTGTGTCAACACATACTACTTCTCACAGGAGATTGGGACGTTGAGGGGCAGGAGGCGGTGTAAGGCAGGAGGGTGGGAGAGAGGGAGGGGAGATCCTCTCTGTATCCCTAGGAATGGGTTAGAAACGCTAAGGGTTGGGGCAGTAAATGGATGAAGACCTTACTGATTACTGCACAGGTTCTAGTTAGAAAATGCCAGAAAGAAAGCAAAGAGGTACTGAGGCAATAAAAGGACAGTGGCTTTGCTTTTCAAAGCCTTTCTATGAGCAGTAGAGAAATTATTGAATGTAAATTTAAAATATAGAAGCTGTCTGACTGAGAGTGAGGCCTATGCTGGAAGGCGTAAAAGTCTGAGCAAGATGGAGCCATCCATCTTTTTCAGGCATGGTGGTCAAGGGACTTGTTAAAGTTCTCTGTCCCTCTGAAGTGGTTCTGCTTCAATATAACCACACAGCTCACTACCATCTGCCTTTTTTAAGAAATACATTTATTTTCCAGACTGCCTGAAGCTCTTCAACTCAGAACTTGTGGGGTTTAGCCTATGAAAGTGTATTTTGTAAAGACTTATTTTCCAGTGGTCTGCAGGATCTTTTTGAAATTATTAACAATATTAACGGGCACCAGTGCTCACATCCGTAATCCTGGCTACTCAGTAGGCAGAGATCAGGAAGATCATGGTTCAAAGCCAGCCCTGGAAGAATAGTTCATGATACCCCATCTCAAAAATACTCAACACACATGCCAAAAAAAGGGCTGGTGGAGTGGTTTCAAGTGGTAGAGCACCTGCCTAGGAAGTATGAAGCCCTGAGTTCAAACCCCAGGACTGCCAAACAAATTAACAGTATTAATAAGTTATCAGTGATAACTATATTACAGCAATGACTGCTAGTACAGTTCTTTCTTTGAAACATAAGTTAGGATGATTTGATATGAATAAAAATGTAAAAAGATAACCTTGTGATCCAGAAATTCTGTTTGGGGAAAATTCTTTCTAAGGTGTACCTGAAGCCACTTTTGAAATGTCAAGGCAAAGGCAAATACAACCAAACTTATCTTAGATCTGCCAACTTTCCTCCTGGCTTAAGCATATCTTCAAATGGGTATGAAAGGACCAAGAAGTTAATATTCTTTCCCATTCTTTAGTTCTCTTTCTTCTTTACTGATTTGTACAGATATCTGTCTATAATATATTTCTTGCTCTATGCGTGTTAACCAAATTTAGAATGGGGTTATAAAAAGAATGTTGCTGACCAGGGTTTTTGCAGCTTTGCAAACTTTTACCTGTGTCATGAAAGCAAGAGTCCATTTTCTTATGGCTGCCTAGGAGTCTGGATGTCCCATTATGGTGAAAGCCAAAATGACTCATATGGAACCATTGTTAAGCTCAACTTTGTAGTTTGTGGCTTTTCTGGAATGCTGCCATCACCAGAACGAGCTCCACCTTCTCCTGCCCCCTTGCTATAAAAGGGGTCGATGGATTTCATCTGACCTCCTCACCCTCCAGTCTGTAGTTGCTTCTTTAATGCTGTGTCAGGGAATCGTGGAGCCACCTCTTTGATGACTAGCAACTCACCTAGATACTGTTGACTTCTGTTGAATTTATCTTGCCTTTGACAAGTATGCAAAAAGTGAAAGGCAAGCTAGCAAAATGCATTCGTTAAACAAAATAACAAATGGAAACAAAAAACCTAGCATGCAGTTTAGAATACTGTTTGCTGCTGCATTTAACACTTGTTGCTGTGCTGTGCAATGTCAGTCCTCCTCTGGTAAAGACTGCTGCTGGTATTGCCATCCTGGCACAACTTGTATATGCTTTGAATTTACCAGTCTGATCACCAGCTTTCACATGCGGTGGGACCACTAGTTGCCCTGTTGACAGGTGAGGAGTGGAGGCCCATGCTAAGCTAACCCATTGGTAAGGGGGCCACCTGCCGCTGGGTACCAGAGTCTAGTCTTCATTCCTCCTCTTGACTGCTGTGCTTAGGTTTGACTATTTTTAAAGGAAGAAAAGAAACAACCTTAAAGAGTCATTTTGTGGGTAGAGGAAGCATGGGGAGTGAAGGGACTTCCCTAGCTTTTCAGGCCGGGATCTAGGTGCTAGGATTCGAACCCAGTGTGTTTGACCACCTCCAGAATCTTTTTCTCAGGGAGATTAAGTGCTGTGAGGAGCTTAGAAGAGGTGCTAAAATGCAGTCCTGTTCATTTTATGCATTATTGAGTATTCTTTATTTAATAAACCACCTTACTGCTGCCAAGTGTCTAATTAATACATTCTTTTACCAGCCCCCAAAGGAGCAAAATGTAAATAATAGAGTTCATAGCTCAGCTGCTTGACATTTTTAAAAATTAACATACAAATAGTTTCTGAAGAAAAGTTTCAAGTAGTACTGTAGATATATGACATTATAGGTGCCAAAATTCTCCCAAGTTTAACTTTATTATAAAGATACTTGGTTTGGTGCTGGTACCTAGGTATTGGTTTGCATTCAACTTCTGTCCTTTTCTTTCTTTTTCTTTTTTTTTTTTTTTTTTTTTGTGGTACTGGGGTTACACTCGGGGCCTTACACTTGCTAGGCAAACACTCTGTCACTTGAGCTATACCCCCAGCCCTTTGTGATTTGTTATTTTTTTTAATACAGTCTCATGTGTTTACCTAGGGCTGGCCTGGCCAGCAGTTCTCTGATTTATACTTCCTGTGTAGCTGGGATGACAGGTGTACACCACTGTACCCAGCTTTATTGGCTGGGGTGGGATCTCACTTTTTTGCCTGGGCTGGCCTCAAACCACCATTCTCCCAATCTCTGCCTCCTGAGTAGCTAGGATGACAGACATGAGGCACTGCACCTGGCTTGTCATTTTCAACAAAGGAGAGACACTGGTCCCTTGGGTGCAGAGACACGGGGCCTGAGTGTTCGGCTTGGCAGAGATTTGCCAGAGGACTATAGCCAAGAGTTTACTATTTTTTTGTTTACAGTGAGCCAACTGAGAGACTAGAAATTAAACATTTTTTCCTTAATGTGAGGAGAAAGCAGTCTTATCTTTACATTTAATTGTTCAGTGGAAACAATGCTATTTTCCAAAGCATCTTAGTAGGAAAACCTTAGACTTATAACAGTTTGACATTGGCACTCTGCTTAGTTTTATTTTTGCTTTCAGAAGGATTGGCTACAAAATGACTCCAAAATGGTACCAACTGGTTTTTGGGAGGGGCAAATCTAGCAGGAATGATATTCTTCCCTGCAGCCTCTCCAAGCGAAAAATACAGCGTTGCTCTGCCATTCCTGCGGTCTCGCACTAGCAGCTGCCCCTCTCTACTCTCTCCTCTCCCCTCTCCACTCCCCCCTCCAAAGAAAACTGGAGATAAATGAATGGCAGAATAAATAATTTATGCTAATGAAATTACTGCAATTAGTAGTTCTACAATGACCCTTTTAAAAGCCACAGCTGTTAATGTCAGGAAGTGCTGTCACTACTGACCTTATCATAAGAGAAAGTGACAAATTGAGAATGCAGGGAAGACCAGTCTTCAGAGAGGTCTGTTCTGGACCGATTAGAGTTTTCTGAAAAACAGTGTGAATTACAACCAGCTGCTCCCTGGCTCCGCAAGTCTCCCATGCTGTGCCGTTTTGTTAAGCCCCCTAACAATAGTTATTTTGCCCCATCGAGACAAGTTGTCTCAGGCCACTTCCAGCTCTACCGGAAACCACTCTTTCCACGGGAGACTTACAAATGAAACTGTTGTTAAAGAGAGCTTGCAGGGCCGCCGAGGAGCCTCCTCATCAGGATCATGGTTGGGCAGATGCCAGGGATTTTTTTTTTGCCCTGAAAGGAGGTTACACTTGGCTGAGGAAGTATTTATCTGTGTTGTAGAAAGGTATGTGTGTGCTTTAAGTTGCCATTAAAACAAGATGGAACAAAGACCAAAGTTGTGCACACATTTCTGCTGAGGCCAGACTCTTAAAAATAAAGTCCCCAAGGGAATATGATTTCTATGAGGTTTGTGCAAACTTGCTTATAAATTTGATTTTCTCAGTCTGCCATTTGATAAGATACATGCATGACTTAGCTCCCCCAGAAACAAAGACTGTTTCAGGATTTGCATCTGTAGTTTCTTTTATGTAACTTTTGCTTTGAAAACATACTACTTCAGTTACTAGTGAGATGGATTTTAATAGACGAAACAATCCAGTACGTGCAGATTTTCTGCCTCCTCAAGGGATTTGTCAGAGGTTGGAAAGCTGTGTGTTTGAAGCGGTGGGTTGGTTTTCACCCTGTCTCCGCTCACACCTCTGGTTGCAGCGTTGATGGCGCAGGTTTGAAGTGTTTGACTGCATCACCAGCCACTTGTGTGCAATTTTCCCAGAGATGCCAGAGTGTTATTGACAACCGTTTGGTAAATTATGTGTGACTTTCCTAAGAGTTGGTGTAGCTCATTTAATTCATATTAATTGATTTTTAGGCTTCCCTTGATTAATTGAACCTGGTTCATCTTGTACAGAACGTAATAAATAATCATTAAAATGAGGGAGATGTGACTCCACAAATTAAAAAGTTAACTACTTCAGAAGTCACAGAGGACACAAAGGAAAGGATAGCAGGGACTTGTCAGGAGGTCTTCAGAGGAGAGATGTTCAGTGATGTGTGGGGGTTTTGTTTTGTTTTGTTTTTCTCCAAATAAGAATGGAAAAGATAGTTATATTTTTCTCTAGAAGCAATGACTTTGATACCTTACCCACCCAGTTCGTTTAACATAGTTTCTCACAAAAAAAAAAACCTCTCTCTGTTTTAGCTTCTCTTTTTTTCTATGACTTTGCAGGGTTATCAATGTTCTTTGTCTCAAGTTTTGGTTGAAATCAAATAAAAATTCTTCAGAAGCTTGTGTCTCAATTTTTCCATTTTCCCTTTTGCATACCTGATAGATAAAAATCAAATTGTAAAGAGGAGTTTGAGTTTCTGTTACAGGTTGGCTTTTGAGTTTGGTAGGTGGAGCACAGAAAAATCCTTTGTCCTAACTTGGCAAGAAAACAGGAAAACCAAATGCCTGGTTGTAATCTCTGTACTCTTGTGGATGTCTCTTTAAAGATTAAATAAGCTTTCCTAGTTTCTATAATGTGTTCTGGCTTTTAGGAGAAAAAATGTTGCATAATTTTGTTGAATTTTCTTCTATTTTCTAAATTACATTAGCAATTTCAGAGGATTTTATGAGAATTGCAATATTTGTGTTTCCAGCCACTGCACAAAGAGTCTATTAGCCTTTTCATGGCACATGTTCACAACAGCGTAAATGAAATGAGTGCCAGGTATTACCAGAATGAAAGAAGACACAACTATACCACCCCAAAGAGTTTTCTAGAACAAATATCACTGTTTAAGCATCTGTTGAAGAAGAAACAAGAAGAGGTATCCCAGAAGAAAGAGCACTTGGCAAGTGGTATCCAGAAACTAAAAACCACCGCCTCACAGGTATGACCAGGTGTGCTCCTCTAAGCACATTCTCTGTTCTTTTATAGAAAAATATGCTTCCACTTGAAGCAGTGCTTACCATTTATATTAGATGCTACTTCTAAAGCTTATACTGTGAGTACACAAGGAAGACACAACCCATTGCCCCCTCCTGGGACCTTGGGATTATGTTCAGGAATCTTAGAATACTAGGATGGACTGAGGATCCCTTTTGGTCTCACACACTCAACCCCCGTACCTGACTGATGACTGTGGTAAGGTCCATCAGTTTCCTCTGACCTTGCTGTCTGGGCTGTTCCTTTCAGTCACTTACTCTCTCAGATGGCTTGCCCTCAGTCACCAGGCCCCAACACCTGGAAGGACCGTATCTCCAACCTGCAGGAGTACGTCAGGAGTTGGCACAGGGTGTTAGTCTCACTACTCAATTTTGTACATGAGGCTTAAAGAGTTTAAGGCCAGAGAGCCACAAGGGTGGGGCTTGAAGCCAGATCTGTGTTATTTTAATGTCCGTCCACGTGCTGTCTGTGGTACCTGCAGTCACCATGTGACTAATGGGGACTTTGGAGAGTAACCAGGACTTCCTTTGAGCCAACTGGGCTGTAAGATGGAATAAAACACTTGGTGGTGGTGTGTTGCACCACCGGCACACGACAGGGGCTAGAATGGAGAAGCAGGCTGACGCAAGCCAACCCTGGGCTGTAGTGATGTGGCCCCGGGCAGCATTCCCAGCCACAGTGCTCACATGTGGCCCCCATGTGAGCCTGGATGGGTACTCCCCTTAAGTATTTAGAAAAGATGGAATTAGATAAATGAAATGCCACCCAGGTTTATGTAGCATTCTTGGCTCACCTGGACCTCATGAAGAGTAAAGGCTGACATGAAGCAAACTGTGGGATTATCAGAACTACAGTTTATCTGCCTGAGATTGAAGGGGAAGGGCTACAGACTGAGGTGCCTATATCTATCTCTGCTTCTCTCAGCTATAACAGGACTAGAGAAATCTTGAAGTCATCTCAAAAACTGCAAGGTGATCCAGATTTGCCGATGTCTTTTACTTTGGCTACGGTAGAATCTGATTCTCCAATAGTCTATTATAAAATTACTGATGGATTTATGCTGCCAGACACTCAGACTATTTCCCTTAGAAGATGACATGTATACTTCTTGACACTTACTTTATTTATAAAAGATGGGATTTGAGACCCATCAGCCTACTTTGCCTTTTATCTCAAGATAGTCAGGGTTGACTAGCTGGTTCTATTTCATAAATTTTATTTCTGAATAAAACTTTCCCAGATAGAAGAATTTGTATCATTCAAAACTTACACTTGAACAATAGAGAAACTATTGTTCTTATGAGATTATTCTTATGAGAAACAGTTTAACTTAAATCATGTGTAGGTTTAGGATGAATATGTGCTCAGAGGAGTGGAGACTGTGTGCTTCCTCTGTCAGTCCCACAGTAGCTGTCACTGTGATGTCATTGTCGAAACCACCACCTCTTCCCTTCCCCTGCCCTCTCAGTGCCTTTCTGCTGTTACAGCCAGGCTTTATATGGCCTCTAACACCTGGAGAGTTTATTTCAGCCTGCTTTTGATCTCCAGGAGAAAGTAAAGGATTTCTTTCAATTAGCTTGTTTTTCTATTGACTATTATTTCCTCTTTGATTGACTTTAAATCAAAACTAGAAATATCCTCAAGAGTGTAAATTTACATGTCTGGATTAATAGGGACCACAGAAATGCTACCTACAAGAGTACTGGGCCTTCCTTTCCATTCTTATCACCACCATCCTTATTATATCACAGATGGAATATCACAAAAGAGAAAGAGATTGTGTGTGTGTGTGTGTGTGTGTGTGTGTGTGTGTGTGTGTGTGTGTAGGACAGTATCAGCCCTAAACACGTCTTTATTAACTAGATCCAGTTATTTCACTTTTGTTAATATCCCCAGTTGACCAAAGTATGAAAAGTTATATACAAAATATTTCCAGTGGCATTTCTTTTAATAGCCCAAATTATGAACCACTGAAACATTTAGATCACGAGTCAGCATACTTTCTTTAAAGGACCAGATAGTAAATATTTTAGGTTTTGCAGACCATAACATCTGTCATAAACACTGCTGTTGTAGCATGAAAGCAGCCATAGACAATATGTAAATAAATGGACAAGGCTATGTTCCGATAAAACTTTATTTACAAATGTGGGGGCTACAGGTTGTCATCCCCTAGTCTAGATAGTCAAACTGATGTCTACAAATGATACACTATATACTCACTAAAAACAAGCAGTGAATATTATGAAGAACATGAGAAAATGTTATAGTAAAAACATTGCAAAATACGAAAGTGCATGAGTGATCGTTACTGCAAATAACACACCTGGCATATAATAAAAATATGATACTGTGGTTATAGTAGGATGGGTGACTTTGTCTTTCTTCAGATTTTCAGTTTTTATTGGTACTACTTTTAAATAAAATGTTTTAAAATAAAAAGTATACTGAAAAATAAATTCTCACTTGTGTTCATCTCAAGGCTAGAAATGCTGATGGGCTTCTCAAAGTGTCGTCACCAGGTTCTACTGCCATATGATTTTTCATGGACAGCTTTTCTTGGGCCACTTTCCCCCAAAATGGGCTGGATGGCCCATCTGTGCCTAGGGTAGAAATAAGACAAGGCTGGTTAAAGGTACCAGCACCTTTCATCCTGAAGGACATCCCAGCCCTCTGTAGGCCAAAGCACCACTCCCTTCTGTGCCACTCAACTTCATATATCAGGAAGAGCTCTTTGACAATACACTGGGGTATGTACTAAGCAGTGGATCATGTCTGGGAAAGAGAAACCAGAGTGAGAACGTTCTCAGGATGGTTAGGATGGAGTGATATAAAGAATAGCTGGGAGGCCCCCAACAGCAGGTCCATATTGCACATCTGCTCCTTCCCCACAAAGAATGTCTTTCTTTACTTGTTCTTTCTATACACATCTATCTGGCTCTTCCTTCTGTTTGCCCTACTCCCTTCTTTTCTGCTTCCCCCTACTTATTTCTCCTATTCTTCCCCACTTAAATCAAGACCCCTTTCTGTAGCAAGGATTTTTGTAGGAGTTCTGTTGAACCCTAGGATACTGAGCTAAGATGAGGAAGGAGCTCTGCCTTGCAACATTTACATCCTTTTCAATGATCTCCCAACCTGAACCTGTTGACTCTGCCCCAGGAAATGATAGTGCCATCACCGAAAATGGTAGGGCAACCCTTGGCAAAGAAGAATATACCTCACCACACTTGGAGCTATCTTTCCCAAATGACAACATGAAAGGCAAGTGGTATAGCACCTTAGGTCATCACAGAGATGGCAGCATGGTGGCCTTAGGAAAAGGAAGGGGAGAGAGTCTATGGCTTTCTTTCCTTCCTTCCTTCCTTCCTTTCTTTCTTCCTTTCTTCCTTTCTCTCTCTCCCCCTCTCTCTCCTCCCTCTCTTCCTCCCCCTTCTCTCCTTTCCTCCCCCCTTTTCTGCCTCTCTCCTTCCTTCCTTTCTTTTTTTCTTCCTTCCTTTCTTCCTTCCTTAGTCTGTCCTTTCCTAATCATCCCAGCTTTGTACTGATGAGTCAGAGGATGGGGGAGAAGAGAAAGGGCAAGCCAATCCTCTGTGCTTGCCAAGTGCAGTACAGCTTGGGGTATCTCTGTTCTCCCTCAGCTAAAAACATTAGGAAAAAAGTTTGTGAAGATCCATGAAGCCTTTATTGAAGGGATGTACCCCATTTCTTTTTATTAGGTATTTGTGCATGGAATGCTTCTAATATCAGAAAAGTGGCTGGCATATTTAATGATTACCTGATAGTTTTAGAAAAATCAATTTATTATGAAAGTAAAGCATGACTTTCTATGTGGAGAATGGAAAGACTTAGCATGACAGATCAGGTTGTATATAGACCAAAATGCCTTCATCTTATAGCACGTATCCCCTTATGGATCTGTGTCCCTAAAACAATTGCACAGAGATGGACACCCATGCCACTAGAGATACAAGTGTATAAACCTTAGTGATGCTCACTTATTACAGTAATAACCCCCTCACCAAAATAGAGTCAGCTTAGGTCACCACAGATGGCTATAGTGACCTTCTTCATAGGTAAAGCCTTTCTTCCAGAGCTTGACTCATTTTGGATATTTCAGAGCTAACTGCTTCCTTAGAAACTGAAGTTAAGGCTTGAAATAACAGTTTCCTCCCTAGTCTCTTGGATGGTTCTTTTGACTACAGCCTAAGATGAGACTAGTTTCAATGGCTGAAAAGAACAGAGAAATAAATGTCACTTGTAAGGTTTCCCTGAGTTCTCAGAAAGGCTTAAAAAAATCAGTCTTATATTATATATATATATACATATATGTATATATATAAAATAGTGCAAGTCATATTTATAGTAGCAATTGTGCTGTTTAGGTAGAGTGTGAACACGGGTGTTGGCGGTGGGGATTAGAGCTTACTTGGGTAGAGTGGTGGGATGGTCACAAGATGAACCACTGTGCTGTCTTTATCAGTTCAGTTAAAAATAAGTGACTATGATTATTCTTTGTATCTCTGATTTTTAAAAATAGTAATATTTGTCCTTGTAAAAAAAAATGGAACAGAGAGCTGATTGTGATGATTTCACACATTTTTGAGAACTGAGTCACAGTTTTTCTCTAGCACTTTATTTCTGCTTTGATTTACGTGGTCCTCAAACTTAGGAACCTAATGATAACTTCTGAATCTAAAGAAATTGCACCTGAAAAATGGGCAGATGCGTTCTTTTTTAGTTGATACATTTTTTGATGCTTCAGAACAACTGTGTTCCACAAGAGCTGAGTGAGGTTGTTTAGTGGTGAGCCCGGAGGAGGAATGCCACCTTTGTGGCACTCTCCTGGCTTCTGACCATACCATACTGACAACCCCACAAACCACATGCAGTTTGTCCTTCTTAGTAGGTATTAAGCTCCATGTTAGATTGTCTGTGTGGTCCAAAACTAATGCCAAGAGAAGATGAGAAAAGCCAAGAAGGCCATCTCCCTTGAGGGGAGAGGGAAGGTAAGACATGTTAGTAACCATTTCAACATGCAACAATTAGTCTGCAGAAAGGCCAAGAGAGTTCATGTCTTCAACTCATCTGAAGCTTCCAATGATTTTTCCTTTGGAGAGTATAAGGTGTGTATGGTTCCTCCAGTTTATCACATGCTTCCCCAGGGCCCTGGCTATCTTGAGACTGATCTGTATAACCAGAAAAGCAGGAGGGCCTAGGGGTGATCTGACCTCTGAGTGTCTCCCTAACTTCTGCTTATTGTAATGCAAATTCATTACATTTTCTGCAAAACCATTGGAAACCATTCTGTTTGTTCTGATGTCGGGGAAAAAATGGGGCTGCACTTTTGCAAATGAGACTGCAGTAAAATCGAGGTGGAACCAGTGAATGATACTCACTGTCAGGGATCCCTGAATCTATATTAGAAAAAATAAGTAATGTCTGTTCTTCATTGTTATCAACACAAGTTATTCCAGAGTAATGACTTCTTTAGGTGGGAGATCTGAAAGCCAGACTTGCCTCTCAAGAAGCAGAATTGCAGCTAAGAAATCATGATACTGAAGCTCTGATCACAAAGATGGGCCTTCAGACGGAGAAAGCGAGCCGGGAAAAGGCCATCGCAGACGCTGAGGAGCGAAAGGTCAGGCTAATTCCACCATTTAGAGTGCTGAGCTATATTTAGCACAAAATAAACCTTTGTAGGTGAACAATTTTGAACAACTTCCTCTCCAGGGAGCATAAAGTCTAAAGAATTATTATAGTTACACATGTAACAGCATTTCACACCATGATTACCACTTGACCTTTCTTTACATTGTGCATTTTCCCAACCTTTTAGCTCTTTAATGATATGAAAGAACAATAAATACTGAGCTCATTCAAGCATATAATGGATGTGGATCTTGAACATCAGGCCTATTTGTAATACAGTAAAGGTCAGGAAGTCACCTCCGAGGTTTCTAAAGGTTTCCAGTTTTTAGGCAAATTGAACAACTCGATTGTTAACAAAGCCCATTCCGACACTTTGCAAGATGGTTTTCAAATTTTGCATTTTAATAATACCACTGGAGTTTATTATTAAGTCCTAAGCTAAATTTGTTCTTTTTGACTCCATTGAGGCCCAAGCCTTCTGTATTATGTTTTATTGTTGGAAACAATTGCCTTTAAGATTTGTATAGATTCTGCTTTCTTTGTGCTCAGATTTTCAGCAATTCTGAATAAATACAACTTTTGTCATCATCTTTTACTAAAACTTCAGCTACAAATGGAAGATATTTTTGTGTATCTTCTTTCCCAAAAGAAAAAGCACAGGAAACAGATAATTAATGAATATTTTTAATTGAATGAATATATGTGTGTGAAGTAAATTATTTTGGAGTAAAGATTATGCTAGGCATCCAGTTAATAAAAAATTATCAGCCACTAACCCTCTCACAACCAACAAATCAATAACCATGATGCTATTATATTTTAATGTATCAGAAAAATTTGAGTTTTTCCTGTGGTGTTGACTGCAATTTCTGTTATTCTCTCTTTTCTAATGTACAACTTGCACAACTAATGGCTTAAAGTATATTGAAAATTAAAACTCTGAACAATTAAATAAGACACAACTTATTTGAAGCTAAAGATAAGGTACATTTGGCATGACCAGTAGTCATATAATTCCTAATTTTGGTAATGAATGTTTCCATTGAGTTTAAGAATAAGTGCAGAATGTCTTTAAAAAGCACATTATTATATTAAGCAATTAGGTATCACACATGGTATGATTATCATAAGCTAATTCCACCCAGGGGATATTTTTGAGGCATTACAGAAATGTGTGATGTTCTAGTAATTATTGTATCATAACCTATCACCACCTTTTGGAGATCTTGAAATAGAATAAGTATTCTAGAGGCATTTTCACATTTTTGCATGTGAGTTTATCAGGTACAATTATCCCCAGAAAGGAGGGAAAAGATTTTAGCAAATTAGAACTCATCTGATACGTTGTTTCATGTGGTTCTTCAATCATGAAGAAGACACATATGATTTATTATACCTAATGTGTAGCAAGAAGTAAAAATAACAGTTTAACTTTCATTTTGACTATGGAGTTTAACTTAATTATAAATATTAATTGAGGGCACTTTTTGTTACCTTTTGAGTGTTTTGGTGAGGCAGTGTTCTAGATTCTTGGGAATATTTGACTCACAAAGTTGTCTTCATGTAGCTTGCATTGCAGTGGAAAACTCTGATCAAGTGACACATTAAGAAACAAGATCTTTAAGTTAGTGATAACTGCTCTGATGAAAACCAAGTAGATAAAGAGGGGAAGGAAATATTTTAAGTTGGGTGATTCTGCAAAGAAGCACTTTTATAATTAAACTATGTGGAAGTGAGAAATTAACTGAGTACATGCCGTGGGCTCACAGTGTCAAATGTTTAGCCATGTGCTTGATGCTGTGCTATTACTAAAGGTAAATAAACTCATCCTGATCCTGTATAATTGGGCTCCCCAGGCTTAATACGCAGCAGGGAGGGAAGGAGGGAAGGAGGGAAAGAATGAAAGAAGGAAGGAAGGAAAGAAAGAAAGAATAAATATGATTCTCCATCTCAACCAACAGCTGTGTGCTGTGGTGCACACCTAGCATCCCAAGCTATTCAGGAGGCTGAGATCGGGAGAATTCTGACTCAAGCCAGCCCAGGCAAAATGTTTGTGAGATCCCATCTCAAGGGAAAAAAATGCTGAGCATTGTGGTATGCACCTGTTAGTCTAGCAAAGGCTCCTGCTTAAAATAGGAGGATCACCATTTAAGGTGGCCTGGGCCAAAAGCAAGATCCTATCTCTAAAATAACTGCAGTAAAGGGTGGAGGCATGGCTCAAGCCCGTCAGAGGGAAGAAGACCTGAGTTCAAACCTCAGTACCAAAAAAATATATATATATATCTTGTTGTGCCTCTTTTTTTTTTTTTTTCATTTTTATTATTGTTGTACTGGGGGTACATTGTGACATTTACCAGCGTTCTTATAATAAATATATCATAGATGAATTCACCCCCTCCACCATTCTCCTTTTTTCCTCCTCCCCCATTCCTGGAATAGTTTCAACAGGTCTCATATTTCCATTTTCATACATGAGTACATAATATTTCTGCCACATTCACCCTCCTCCACCCTTTCCTTATATCCTCCCCCCTCCCACTGATGCCCACCCCAGACAGGACCTGATTTACATTTCTGTCCTGTGCTTTTGAAAAAAGACATTCATGTTTGTTTGAGATAGCTATACAGGGAGTTTCATTGTGACCTTCCATTAGTGTGACCTGTTTTCCATAGTGTCGCTCCTATTTGTATTGGGTCTATATTCCACATATGAGAAAAAACATGTGCCCTTTGGCTTTCTGAACCTGCCTAACTTTACTTAAGATGATCTCCCATTTCATACATTGGCCTGCAAATGACAAAATTTTATTATATATGGCTGAATAAAAGTCCATTTTATATAAATACCACATTTTCTTAATCCATTCATCCATAGTAGTGCATCTTGGCTGTTTCCATAGCTTAGCTATTGTGAATAATGCTGCAATAAACATGGGCATGCAGTTGCCTTTATTGTAACCTGACTCACATTCCTTCAGGTATATCCCTAGGAGTGGTATTGCTGGATCATATGGCAGAGCTATGTTTAGCTTTTTGAGCTTCTGCACTATTTTCCATAGTGGTTGTACTAATTTACATTTTTACCAACAGTGTATGAGAGTTCTTTTTCCCCACATCCTTGCCAACATTTGTTTGTGTTTTTTGTTGTTGTTCTTGTTTTTCCTTTTTGCGGTACCAAAGTTTGAACTCAGGGCCTAAACCTGAAGTCACTCCACCAGCCATTTCTTGTGAAAGCTTTTTGCAAGGTCAGATCTCTCAAACTGTTTGCCTGGGCTGACTTCAAACTGTGATCCTCCTGATCTCTGCCTCCTGAGTAGCTAGGATTACAGGTGTGAGCCACCAGCGCCCAGCACCCAGCTGTGTTTGTGTTCTCAATGGTGGACATTCTAATAGGAGTGAGGTAGAATCCTAATTTCCTGATGCTGAGCATTTCTTCATGTGCTGTGCATCTTGATAACCCATGTAGAGAAGCAGGTTGAAATTGTTGCTTCTGGTTTATAGAATAATCAAGGATCATTCAGACTACTGTCATTGCCACATTGCCAGCAGTGACTATAAGCACCACTAAGCCTGTGACAATTAGTTGTTCCATCTTTGACTTATTAGGTTCAAGTTTTAAAATTCCCAGGAGTCCTGGAGTACTATGACCACCTTCAAAATGCTTTCCACTTTGTATGGAGTGGGATTCCTTGTGAGTGGAAGGACTTTCTAAGTTGAAGTACTAATGTAGTCTCTTCAACAGTTGGGTATTCTCCACATTTTTGGATGGCTGTCAGCTTTTGTGTATACTGGTTTTTTTCTAAGAATGGGTGGGTCTGGTTTTTGGAGAACCGTCAGGAATTTCAAATAGGCTGGAAGCAGAGAAGAGCAGTGTTAGTTTGCTAGGGCCACCGTAACAAAATACCACAAAGGCTTTAACAACGGAGATCAGTATTGTCATAGTTCTGGGGCTGGTGTCAAGGTGTTAGCAGTTTTGGTTGCTCCTGAGACCCTCCTTGGCTTGTAGATGGCCACTTCCTCACTATGACTTTGCCTGACCTCTCTTCTGTGAACACGCATCACTGTTGTCTCTCATGTTTCCAAACTTCCTCTTCTTCCAAGGACACTGGGCAGATTGGGTCAGGATACAACCTTTATGGTTGCTTTTTAACTTCACTGCATCTGTACAGGCCCTATCTCCAAATGCAGCCACATTCTAAGGTACTAAGGTTGAAGATTTCAACATATGAATTGTGGGTGAACACAATTCAACTCTTAGCAAACAGTTTTGAGGGAGTTTACTCTCTCCCTGGTTACCACGGAATTTTAACATATGCAAGGAGCACACACGCTGTGAGATCTATGCAGCTTATCCCTCTTCTCTAAGTTGAGCCTTGCTAACTGCTATCTTTGAGCCATCCAACAGAGGAAATTACACACGGTGGCCTACCAAGTGTAAGATACACAGAATTTTCACTAACCCAATATGTTGTACCTTAGGGTAAGAGGTATTAGAAATGAGAAATAAGATGACCAACCTAAAGTATTTGTTTCATTTATATTTTTACTTATTTATAAAAATTCCCCCAAAGAATAATACTGCATTACCAGTCAAGGAGTCTGAAGAAGAGGAGTGGCTGTTCCCTGGCTCATAGAAATAATCCATTTAAAAGAAGACTCTTTAAGAGATTCTTTAAGACCTCACCTAATACTAAAAATCTATGACCGTAAGTCCAAAGTAAATAATTTGAAATGATGCCATTATAAATGGTAACAAATGGCATTGATAGATCCACGGCACCCTTACAGAAGATAAATAAATGTGAGGTAGTAACTTCCTTCCACATACTCTCATTTGCGATGGTGTTCTCTAGCACACAGAAAATGTAGTATTCTTTGACTTTCCATGGCCTGTTTTGGCAAGATTTGAGGATTATGGTTTTGGAGTAGTTCTCAGTAAGCATACAGGGTTTCCTTATTTACATTTACAGTAGCTGTGTATGTGTTAGCAGGAGAGCACATATCTACCCTGAACCAATTATGTTCATAAAAGGGGCAGTATACAGCAAAATAATGGTTAATCAGGAGAAAGGTAATTACTGCTAATAAAGCTGTAGTAGACAACATAATTTGTTGTGAGCAGTGTTTAATTTTATGGTATGGTTAAACCTGTTCATTCTAAACACATCTGAAGAAATGCACTTTTGTTCATATTTTTTATTCCACGATCACTGTCACCACAGGAACCAGCCCCCAGTGGGGACTAGGTCTTGGTTCCCAGTGCCACATCACTGAAACTCAAACCTCTCTGAGGACTAAAAATTCACTCTTATGGTCATTCAAATTCTATAGGTACCTGAAGAAAAGGAAGCTAAAATACTCCTATTGGTTTGGGTTGAGTTTGCCAGCCTGGTTTCCCTGTAGCCAAACTGCATGGGTTTGTGTCAAGAGGCTCCTGTTTGGCCTGTGAAGAGAACCCACAACAGAAGAATGGGCATGAGTGTCATTGTTTCATTACCCAAGATGGATCTGGGAGTCATGAATTGATGGTTTCTTACCAGGTCCTTGGAGAAAACAGTAATTGGTCCTTATAAAAATTCTGTCCATGGTTAAGCATGCAGTCCATGACCACAGACTAGAATGTCTTCTGACCAGTTGAGTCAAAGACCTTCCCATCTGTTCTTAAGGAATGACCAAAAGGGCTCCTAAGCATATGTAGCAAAAATTAAAGCATTCTAGCAAGAATATTCTATGGTCTTGGTTACTGATCCATCCTGGATTTCTGCTTGTTAGTAGAAACAGTGCTTAGGTTAGGGACACTCTGAAGAAGAAAATTAAAGAAGAGAGGAATGGCTGCTTAATCTTGTTTTTGTTATTAGTGACACCTTATAATTAAATGAATCAGAGCTCTTCTTGGAGCACTTTGGTATTTGAATCTGTTTGGTTTGGGATTTGTCACTGTGTGTTTTGTGCCTTTAGAAAGCTTTATATGCATACTGTACTTGAAGGGAAATTAGTCTTTACAACAGATTCCTCACCTGTTCAAAGTATAGACAGATGAATTATTTAATAGTGTATTTGAGTCAATCTTTGCTTTGCAATAGAGATCTTGGAGATAATAATTTGTGTTTGTGGGTTTATGTGCTTTTCCTCTCTATTTAGGTGGCAGCCATTCAGACTGAAGTGTCCCAGAAACAGAGAGAATGTGAGGCCGACTTACTCAAAGCGGAGCCTGCGCTGGTAGCTGCTACAGCGGCACTCAATACCCTGAACAGGGTAAAGACGATTTCTTATGTGTTGGCTTCCTCAAAATAACATTCAAAGGTTACTGGAGTTTGAATCCCTGTGCAGAGACTTGAGCCCATGTAGGCAAAACAATGTTTAAAAGGAAAGAAAAACCCATAAAGTATTAGAGTTGAAACGAATCCTTGAGACCATAATTATCATTCAACTTTTCTTCCCATCCACGAGTGTGCTGACAAACCCAGTAAGCAGTACCCCTGTGAATACTTCCAGTGCCAGGGGTTCATACTCTTACAAAGGGCAATTCAATTGTTAGTAACTGAATTCAACCCAAATCCAGTTTTCCATAAAAATTGGCATTAACTTGTAAAGCACAAAGAGTTTTGCTTTACAGAAAAAATTAGACATAAAACAAACCCCCCCATATCTCCACCTTTTCTCCTAGCTTCACAATAGAAGTAAGACCTCACTTGACGTCCAGATTCCCTTGAGAGACACAATCTGTGTTCACCACAGGGTATTGTAAGTAAAAAAATGAAACCATGGGTGATGTTATTTTAAGAGCCTGCAGATAATCTTGACCTTGGTTTCTTACAGACCTTTGGGGAGAATCCCAGATCTTAGCTTCTTAAGATTCAGCTATAAAGAGTAAAGGATTTTGACTTTCACCACTCTTCAGAAAAAGACTCAATTCCTTTTCTGAATATTTTTTTTAGAAAACAATTTTGATCATGAGTAATGATCCTTGTAAGAAGAGTTTTATAGTGTTATAAAACTGAAAAATTGTAAATAATATAAACATATCCTGATATATTATTATACATTTGAATATTCTGTCATTAAATTATTTTTTAAATACTATCTAGCAATATGTGAAACTTAATAATAAGCAAATAAAGCAGATTATAAAATAGGATATATAAAAAAATGACTAATTTTTTGGTAAGAGCATTCATGGTCTTAGAAACCAATGAATAACTGGTTATCTCTGACACATGGAATGTTTGTTTTGTCTTTCTCTAAATTTGCATTTTTTTCCTCTGAATAGGAAATTTTTTCCTTTACTAGGTTTTATAAGCAAGAGTGTATTATGTAGCACATACAACATCACAGAAAATAGCAGATTATTTGGTTTGGGTTTTTAAATCATGTATTAAGAACCTACATGTACTTTTTATAGGTACTAATCGCTGCTCCAAAGTATTTCTCCTGGTTCCCTTAACTTAACCACTAATTCCATTGTTGGATAAACCAGTATTATGTGGTGAGGGAGTTAAGTATAGGGAAGGAATTTCGGCCTACCTCAACCTCTCCCAGTTGGGAGTCCCTATATGATAAGGGAAGATGTTTCTTACCTGTAAATATAAAGCAGAAAAACAAAACTAAGAGGTACTGAACTCAGGAATTCTGTTAATAGGAGGACCTGGTTTGGGTTTTTTTGTTTGTTTATTTATTCACATGTATATACATTGTTTGGGTCATTTCTCCACCCTGTACCCCTCCCCAGCCCTTCCCCCTTTCCCCTCCTCAATTTCAGGGGAGGGCCTGGTTAAATGCAAGTCTATCACACTGTGGGATAGGATCCATAAATACCTTACAACCTATTTGTTTACAAAATTTTCTGGCCTCAGTGAGCAGGGTTCTGCAGAACTGGTATATCAGAAGCATAAAAGAGTAGTGATGTTTCCAGAGTGTTTGAGAAGTATCCTGAACTCCAGGGATCCCATGGTAGAGTCCCCAGGTGGCAAGGGACTGTCAATCTGAGATTAGCCTTTTGTTGAGAGGCAGGAGTCAAGCCTGGCAACTTAACTCATCTCCTTCTGACTGTACACATGTGTGCTTTTCTCCAGGTCAACCTCACTGAACTGAAAACCTTTCCCAACCCCCCCAATGCAGTTACCAATGTCACTGCAGCTGTGATGGTCCTTCTGGCTCCCCAGGGCAGAGTGCCAAAAGACCGAAGTTGGAAAGCAGCTAAAGTCTTCATGGGAAAGGTATCAGCTAGCCTAGCAAGATGAAAATCCCAACAGCTGCCATACTATTCTCACTAATGCTTGGTAGCAAAAGATGCTTGAGTCAAAAGAAAGTATCTCCAAAGCTCTTCAATGTATTCTGCTACCTTTCTCTAGGCTCACAGCGTTTGCAAGCCAAGTTGAAGGTTAGCTCAGGGTTATGGCATACCTAAGTCAACGCCAGCAGCAGGTGGAAGGTTGCTAATTATTTGCAAAATTATGAAAGCAGTTAAGTGTAGGAGGGAGAAAATTACATGGATTTCTTAGACTGGAAAAATGTCGCTAATGTACAGGAAGGTGAAGCAAAGGGGCTTTTCGGTATGTATTTTGCTTTTTTCTTTCCTGCCTTTCTTTTCTTCAAAATGTGAATACCTCCTGTGTTGGGACTGAATATTTTACCCTGGGATAGAAGAGGTTTTAAAAGTGTCCATTGCTAATTCTAACTTCATACTCTAAAGACTGAAAAAGTCACACAGTAGGATAAGTGCAGCTTGCCAATTGTGCCTTTGTAATGTGAGTCCTAAAAGCTGATTTTAACTTTTGATCTTGGAATTTTCTCTGCAGCCAAAATGGGTTCATTGCAATAAGTCTTTTTGCTTTACAGGTTGATGATTTTTTGCAAGCATTAATTAACTATGACAAAGAGCACATTCCAGCGAACTGTCTAAAGGTAGTGAATGAACAGTATTTGAAAGACCCAGAGTTCAATCCCAGCCTAATTCGGACCAAATCTTTTGCAGCAGCTGGTCTCTGTGCCTGGGTCATCAACATTATTAAATTCTATGAGGTATCAGTCTTTTTCTGATGGCTTACAGCTGCTATCTGCAAAGGGCCATAAACAGCAATTTCTAGGTCAGCAAAAAATGTAAAATACTTTGATATTTAGCTTTCTGAAGAAGAATGTGTAGTTCTAAGCATGAGACATGTTAACAGAATTCTAAAAGGAATACTTGAAGTTTTAGAGACTGTTTTATAAGGGTGGGATAATTAGCTACATAGATCAAAGAGCATTAATTGATTTAGTTAGATGAAAATTTATTTACATACATAAATATAAATATATTTACATTGAAAGGTTTGATTTGTGTTGACTTGAAAAATCTACAAATCTGAATTCATACTGAACTAAATGAATCCCTGCCTGCTCACAAAGCAAAAGTTCATGCTATCTTTATTGTAGGCACAGTGAGAGGAGAAAATAACCATTTTTTGCTTTAGTATTTTAATGACATTAATTGTTGCCTGAAGATGTTTGCTAATCTAAAATTTGTACTTAGGGGCGATATAGATGACCATTTCATATATCATTTATTTTTCACTTACCAACTACTCTCCAGGTCCTTCTCAGAGACTAAATATGAAAAGGAAACTTTGTAATCCAGGACTCTGAAGAACTGTCCCATGTTTGTCTTGGAGAGTTGTATATCATATCCAAATGCAGAATTACACAGAAAAAGCCAGTAGTCAGTCTTTCTCCAAATGATTTTCAGAAAAATCAGGCTATTCCTTTTATCCTTTGGGGACCACAAGGGTAGGGCTTTTTGATCTCTCTCTCTGGTGGAAGTCTTCATAGAGCGAGCATGAGACATATTGCAGTGGAGGTGTGGCCTCGCTCCATCCTAAAATGCCTGAGCACTGGGTTCCATTTGTTCCAGAGGTGGAAAGATGAGTGTAGAACTAGACCATTGTTTTGTTGTGTTATTTTTCTATAAAATAAGAAATAAAATGTAATTTCCCTTCTGTCTCTCTGCCAGGAATAAAAAATGATCTAGCCAAATAGCACAGGCTTAAAGTAGTGAGGAACTTAGAAAAGGAAGTTCATATTGTGTGAGGACGTCTCCCCCTTTTTGTGTTCAGAAAATTTCTCCATACTTAACTTTCTGCCTCAAGGGAAAGTTCTCATTTCACTTTTGTTACATAGTCCATGCACATTGCAATTTCTGGTGATAGCAAGATTAGCTCCACATTTTCTGACAAACTGATTTTAGTATCTTTGTGATGTTTGACCTATATAACATTACATGTGAGTACTTGTAGCTCTACTGTCCAGAATAAATAATAAGTAACAAGTGGAGGTACAGAGAGTGTGTGGAAGACTGTGTCTGCTCCTCCATACTTTAGATCAAAGAGCGATGCCAAGGAAACACAGTAATTGCTCTGTGGATTAGATATTTTTATGTGTAAAGCTCCCTGTTTATGTGGAATTAGGTGATTACTGTCATCCTTGCATCTGTATTGCTTTCTGAATTGAATACCATGTGGATTTTCAGGTCTACTGTGATGTGGAGCCAAAACGCCAGGCATTAGCCCAAACAAACTTAGAGCTGGCTGCAGCTACTGAAAAGCTGGAGGCCATCAGGAAGAAGCTTGTGGTGAGTGCAAACTCTATATTAAAGAGCTTCCCAAGAGATGGGCCTCACTTCCACCTTAGGATCCCACCTTGAGACAAGGCCACATCAGTGCCCTACCTAACAGAAAGAAGAAAGAAAGTCAATCTTCCATGAGTACATTCACTTACATACTAATTCTGAAGATGTTTCTTTTGAGGGGGGTGGGGAGAGCAGTACTAGGGTTTGAACTCAGGGCCTTGCACTTGCTAGGCAGGCACTCTACCACTTGAGCCACTCCTCCAGCCCTTTTTGCTCTGGTTCTTTTTAAGATAGGGTCTCACTCTTTGCCTGGGCTGGCCTGGACCACCACCCTCCTACTTATGCTTCCTGCAGCAGTTGGAATGACAGGCACATGCCACCACTCACAGCTTTTTCTGTTGAGATGAGGTCTCATGAATTTTTGCCCAGACTGGCCTCAGACTGCAATTTTCCTGATCTCTACCTCATGAGTAGCTAGGATTACAGGCTGAAGATTTTTCTTATCTGCTATATGCCAGTTCCTGGCTTATGCACTTAATAAACTTTCATAGTTTGGTAGCAGAAAGAGGAAGATAGCCCACCATGATTAAAATCAAGGCTACTGGAGCCAGACTTACTATTCTACCTCCTGGCTACCGGTGTACTGTTTCACCCACACAAGTTGGTTAACCTCTCTGAGCCTCTGTTTTCTCATCTGTAAAATAGGTATAGGTTGAACATTACAAATTTAAAAAATCTGAAATCTAAAATGCTTCAAAATCCAAACCTTTTTGGATGCTAACATAATACCCAAAAAGGTTTAGATTTTGGAGCACTTTGGATTTCAGATTTTTGGATTTGGAGTGCATAACCAGAAAAGTCAATACAAATATATAAAAATCTGAAAAACTCCAAAATCTGAAACACTTCTGTTCCCAAGCATTTTGGATAAAGGACTCTCAACCTGTGTGGTATAACATCGACTTCTTAGGTAGAATTGTAGATGGTTATGTGAGTATCTCATATTAGTTCATATTAAGAATTTACCATGGTGTCAGGTACATAGTAAGTGCTTGTAGAATATTAGCTATGATTATTATCATTGTTACTAATTTTACAAATATATAAATCAGTCATTCTGGTTGATATGTTCATATGTGATTATATGCACCAAAAAGGTATCAAGCTGGAGAAATTAGAGTTTCTCAGTGAAGGTGTACTTGACATGGGTTTTGAACATTGCTTAGAAGTCCCCAGGTTGACTAGGACAGGAAAGCTATTCCTGGCAGAGATAAAGGGAAGGAGGAAGAAGCAGTTGGGAGTCTTGAAGAATCGCAATAGGCCAGAACACTAAGAGGAAGGTTTGGGAGAAGGCTAGGAATGGCGGGGAGAAATGCAAGACCCCCTTAAAAAGGTGAGCAAAGGCCCTCTTTGCCTTTCATGCTATCTGACTAGTGCAAAGATATCTGACTTGGAAAGATTTTAATAGGTTAATGACATGGTCGAATAGCTTCTCAGCAAGCCAAATGGATGCTGGAGACAGACATCTAGAGTCAGAAAGACAAGTTCAAAAACAACTGCTCAGGGCTTCACTGGAGCAGGAGCAGTCATGGCAGAAGGCCAAGAGAGATTCCTGGCTGCTGATGGACAGAGAGAATAAGCCAAAATAGAATGCAGATGGGGAGAGTGAGGAGGCTGGCAAGGTGGCACGGAGAAGTGTGGTCAGACTGGTGAGGCTTCCTAACCCTGGTGACTTACAGAAATTCTCAGAGCTTCTGCTTCTGTTCTGTCAGGATATGATGGTAACCACTGTCTCTTGAGGTGGACATGTGTGATTTTTGGCTCCTTGCCATCCAGTTTTCTGCCTTTGAACAGAACCAGCCTGCTTATCTTTTGGGGATTCTCTCTCCTTATTGGATGTACTCAGTGGGGTTTGTAGCAGGGGTGTGAGCCCTTCCCCCTTCTAGCTAAGGACTAAATATTTGATCCAGGCTTTGCCAATTTGATCACCCATCTCTTGAATCTGAATGATGAGCCAAAGGAATAAAAAGAATTGGTCAGTTCTGTACAGTGCCCAGTGGAGGTGTTCCAGCAGTTCTTGATCCCATGACCCTCTGGAGCTCCTCACATGATTCTCTGCTTTTTGTTCCCTCCGGAGAGTTCTACAGTCTCCTTCCAGTACATGCCCCTCAGCTTAAATTACCTAGTGAGGTTTCTGTCATCCACACTGTGAATCCTGACATACTGAGATTCCCTTCAGTGTGCAGCATACAGTAGGCACTTCATAAATCCTAGTTTCTATTCTTTTACTGTAGAAAACCCATGTGTTGTGGTTTAGCAGGCAGGACAGGAGTTTGAGAAAGAAGCATGGCTCAGGAAAATAGATGGGAATGGCTGATGTGAGGATTGTGTGTGAAGAGAGACTTCCAGTGGGAGTGAGTAGTAAAAGCAGGGGATGGCAAGGGTAAATCTCAGGCCACTGCAGTCTAGAATCTGGATCCAGAATAGCTGTGTAGCCACATGGGACCTCTTAACAAAATAAGGATTGAATTAAGCCTACTTGTCAATTTGGCAAAAAGGGAGGGGGCCCTTTCTAAAAGACAGCCCCTCCAAGTTATCAAAACACAGGAGGGAGATCCATTTTGCAAAGCAGAGCGCAAGGCATTGACTCCTTAAACACACCAGGAAGGGATAAAATTGTGCTCTTGGTTACTGTTCATTAATTATAAGGCATTTTTATAACAACCATTTCAGTAAGGTGATCAATAATCCAAAAAAGTTTCACTTTATGACATGGACAATTTTAGTATCTCTCATAGTAACTCATTCTCCATTTTCCTTTGAGGCTACTTCCTCCATTAGTCCTTCCTGACTAGCACTTCCTACCCAGGCGATGTGATCAAACATCCTCCTCTTTCTGTCCAATCACCATATTCCTACTAGCATGAGACTTTCTGTTCAATAACACCTGAGGACTAGTGGAAGAAAGACAAGTCAACAACAGCAACAGCTGACCCAAGTTTAGGATAAACATGCTAACCTTATAAAAATAATCATTCATTGGTCAAAACTCTTACCATCAACTTGATGAAAACTTCAAAAAATTGTGTCATCTATTGTTAATGACTTCATATAACCATAAGCACTTAATGTTCATAGGAAAATTGGTGGAGATGCTGAAGGCAACCATAAAGTTAACTGTGAACTATGAATTTAAGACTCTCTGTGTTTGCAGACCTAGTAATGTTTTGGACATAGCCTGCAGATAATTGAAAATTGTTCACACCAATTGTTTTCATTTCATTCCATGCATTATATAAGCAGAAGGTCACACATCAATAAGCCTTGGAACTAAGTTTTCAAACACAGACAAAAGGAGAACCAAGTAATAGTTGAAATAACTTTATAAAGAATGAGTCTTCTTGGAACCTTACCAAGGACCAGTGTCCAGAGAGCAGTTATTAGTGTGGCAGGATTCTATCTGCAGTGACCTCCACAGTTCACTTCCATCCTAAGGCCACGTGGCCGATCATGCTAAGTATGAAGTACCTTTGCCTAGTGTTAGTCTGCTGGCACATGGTAAAATAAAACTTTGAGCCCTAGTGAAATTATAATTTTTATTAGCTTTCATTTTTCTCCAACCTCTCATTTCTTCACCCTCCTCGGCTTTCCTTTCTTCTATTCCATGACTCCTGTTGCCTTCTTGCCTAGGACAGCAGCTTGTATACTGTCATGGAAATTTGTTCAGAACAGCATGTTAGTCTCTGTGTATTGTTCTTTTGAATCTCTGTGTCTAGCTGTAGATTAAAGTGGTCTCATAGTAAAGTTTGAGTGGAAAACTATAATGTCTCTTAAAATCAGGATCAAGAATGGCCATGAAGAAAATCCAAATCCAGTCTATTGGGGTAGTGTTTCTCAAAGTGAGCTTCCTAGACCAGCAGTAGCATCAGTGATGACTAGTTGCTGGTTAGAAATACACTCTCAGACCCAAACTCAGATCTACTGAGTCAGATCCTCTAATGATGGAGCCCAGCAATGTGAGTCTAATCAGCTTTGCAAATGGTTCTGAGCTATACTCAAGTTGGAGTGCCACTAGCTTTATTTTATTATTATTATTTTTGGAGGTACCAGAGCTTGAACTCAAGGCCTCATACTTGCTAGTCAGGTGCTCTACCAATTGAGCCATCCCCCTAACCATTTTTTGCTCCAGCAGTTTTTTAGGTAATGTCTCAGGTTTTTGCCTAGGGCCAGTCTCTGTCTGCAGTCCTTCTACCTATGGCCTCCCAAATAGCTGAGACCAGAGGCACCCAGCTTCTTTGTTGAGATGGTGGTCTCACTAACTTTTTGCCTGGGCTGGCCTCGAACCATAGTCCCCTCAATTTCTGCCTCCCAAGTATCTGATATCGTAGGAATGAAACACTATGCCCAACTGAAAACCACTAGTTTAGGTACCTGGAGGACTGAGTTCTTCTTTCCTCACGCCATTTACTTCTGGAACTTGAGAGCTAGAGTCTGGCAAGAACTGAAGATTTTATCCTCCTTAAAAGCTAACAAGGTAGTTCACACACTTCCACTGGAAACCAAAGATTTTATTACTCCCAGCACAGCAAACAGAATGAGCCTTATGGTTGTACCAGTTCCTTTCCTTGCCTCCCAAATCCTGTGAGAGTGGTGTTCTTAACTAATTTTATAACCATTCTTGAGGAAGGATTAACAGTCCTTTGCTTTTAACATATAAATGTGCAAAATCCATTCCTTGCTCAGAGGTCATGCAAAAATGGCTGGCTTGATGGGGTCTGTGGCCATAGTTTGATGACCTTTGCTCTCTACTAACACCGAAGAAAATTTGGGAAATGATGCTTTCTTACCTGCCAGTTCTCCTTGTTCTTCTGCTTCTGGCTTAGACTGTATTTCTCCAGGAAGATTCCCTTAATGACTTTACCAGTACATTTGTTATGTCACATACCCTATTCATAACAGCTCCTATATGCAAACCATCATTCTACACCAATCATAAACTCCTT